ATGTTCCTCATCTGCTCTTTCATGATAAACAATCACTTTGCTCTGCCATCGCTGGGAGCCATCAATAGTTTGTAAACCCTGTCCTTCATTCTTCCAGGGGATATCAGAAACCTGCTCAAGTGGATCAAACAGAATCTGTTGAAAGAGCGACCAGAGTTATTTTTGCAAGGGGAATCTGTGTAAGTACAACTGTTAGGAATCCTCCTTGTGTTTCTCTCTTGATCCCCACAGTTTTTACTCTGGGGCGGATTTCCTATTGAGTAAGTCAATGACCATGAAAACACAGGATTTGCTTAAGTGATAGTGGGAGGTATTCCACCCACACCTTGCACTGTCCACAGAGAGCATCTTTTGCAGCCCTCACCCCAAATCTTTAAACTTTAAACATGAAGCAGGGCCATTTATACTTTCTCTTCATTGTCACTTGGACCAGAGCAGCACCTGTATCCTCAATTCCAGGAGTTTTAGCAGGTCTGTCTGTTCCCTGCTGATATCACTGGGACTGAAGCAGTCATTCTGAGAAATGCCAACAAATGCTTCTTCTGGGAAATGTATTTTTATTATCAAAATGGGGCCAGTCTCGTGGAGGGGGGTAAAAAAAAAAGGAAGGCAAGAGAAATGGAGCAGAGTGAGCTGTGCAAGCCATCCCTGACTGCGGGGTGGCGCTGGGGGTGTTTAACATTCGTCACGGATCTTTGTGAGCTGAAGCGTGTGCCAGGTCCCCTGGTAACAGGAGAGACAATTGCAGGACACTGAAGATCAAAGAGGGGGAATCCCTTTGCTCAGAATCAGGGGCTTGGAGTGGATCCCAGGTGTTTAGTGCCTCTGCTAGGGGCACCGGAATGGCTTTCCCTGCCTTCCCACTGAGCTCTCTGCGCTCGCCTGTCGTGCGTGGGTTTTAATTACCTGGCTTTTCTGCATGGTACGGAAATGCAGTCATCCTGGAGCATCCTCAGAACGGTGCCTTTCCATTCAAATCAGCTTGGGGATTGCTCCTGCATCCCCTTTATTTGATCCAGAAAGGGCTCAGACTGTACCTGTTCCCACCTCCATGCTAGGATCCCTTTTTTGGCATTATAGGCAGCCAGCCTGTGATCTGTGCTGTGACATCCCGTGTTCTTAACTATTTGTGGGGCTTTTTAGCAGCCCTGTATCCTAATTATTTCTCTCTATTCTGCAGGAGGCCAGGAATTTTGGTGCTCATCAACGAGGCAGACTGGGAACTAATGGTCTGTACTCCTTCAGTTTGACTTTCTTTGTTGAAAATATTGCTCTCTCTCTTCTGTGGTTGCTCTCACAGCAGCTATTTCTGATTCTTGCCCCAAGCAAAGCATCTCATATTTGAGGGGGAAGGGGCAGGCTGGAATCTATCTCCTGTACTGTGGCTGTTCAAAAGCCTGGAGCCTCTCTCTAACCTGCTGAGTCTCATCAGCCAGACCGGGTCTGAAGAGAGATCACCCTTTTTCCCCGGTCTCTGGCACTGGGTTTTGCACCTCTGGCTGCTGGTAGGTCCCCCAACATGTGGGGTGACAGCAGGGGGGCACCTGAGACCTTCAGGCCCCACAAAGAACCACCTTCCCTGAAGTCAGGTGGTGCCCGGCAGGTAAAGGCCACAGGGAGATTTCAACTCAAAAAGGCACCTGCTAAATGTCTTCCCTTCTCAGCCCACTGTTGTGCTCAGACAACAAACAGCCCCTCGCCATTTCCCTGCCTCAGGCAACCACCTGTTCTGTCAAAACCCTGGTCCAGAAAGCAATGTGGGGTGATGAGCATCGGCACTGTGGCTGATCTCTCACCTTTGCTTCTGTTATGATGAAAACATCAGTCTGTCCCCTTCTGCTCTCCCTAATACTCACCATCTTTTTATGAGCTGTTTTCTCTTTGCAGCTTGTATTTGGAAATGACATTTAAGCAATTTTTCATTTTTTTCTTGGCCTGCAGGGTGAGCTGGATTATAAACTCCAGGACCAGGATAATGTGCTTTTCATCTCAACATTGCACGGCGGGTGAACTCCTGAAAAAACAAAGAGGATGTAAATCCAAATCCCCGGGAAAAAAAAACAAACAAACAAAAAATAACCCAGAAAACCAACCTTAACCCACCCAAACCTCTGTTGAGCTGCCTGTGTCCAGTCTCTGCATCTTCCCACTGCCTTCACTTGTTCTAGACATCCAAATAAAGCTCCGCCAGCCTGCGGCCTTCTGTCCACCACAACAGCATCCATCTTTTGGTCCTCATTTCACCTCTCCTGACTACACTTCCAGGTACCCTAACGAGCAGAGAGCACCTCAGCATGTGGGACTTTGTTTTTTTCTGACAGGAGGAAGAGGGGTGCTGAACCCTGAGTAGGATAGCATGTCTTAACATGCAGTGAGGTGTTCTGGTGCTGGGAACCAGGATTCTTTTAACACAATGCTTAATGTTGGTACAGTCTCTGCACCAGCCATGGGAAGGGTGACAAAGTGCAAGGAAACAAAAGGGGGCTTGAATAGCTTTTCCATGGGGTAGCAAACATGGTAGTTCCAGAGCCCTCAGAAGTGACTTGCACCTTGTCATGATATTTATTTATAGGAAGCAGGAGAGAAATAGGCCTTTTGGGTTTTGTATTTCTTATCCCTCATGCTGCTTTCGTACCAGAGCTGAGGCAGGGTGAAGAACTGGCCCATGAATGATGTCAATTTATAATGACTTGGTTGGAGGGAAAACAAACCCTCACCCAGCCTGAGACAGCACAGGGTGATCAGGGCAGCAAATGATCTTTCTGTCACTGTGATAGACAGAATTGATCGGGCTGTGCTGCATTCTGTGCAGGTGGGAGCTGCAGTCTGGCTGGAGAAGGGCTGGGGCTGGAGATGCACAGTTAAAGTGCCAAGACCTGAGAAAGTCAGTGACTTTTAACCCTTTGTGTCAGTGGGAGGGAGAGTTTCTTGCTGCATGTCCTGAGGAAGTCCTGTGGAAGTGGGTGTGTGTGGTTCTCCTGGGGCAGGGGTGTTTGTTGGCTTTCCAGAAGTTTCCTCAGAAAGACAGGCTGGCCCCTGCCAGCCAGGAGGCTGCAGCGAGAGCAGAGGGATGGGCTCAGAGAGGATAGCATTGGCACCAACAGGTCTGAAACATGCTGCATGAGCTTCCAGGAGTGCCTGGCCAGGACTGTGCCCCTGCGCTCCCCCATGCCCTGCTCACCTCTTTCGGCTCCAGCGGCGTGCAGAGTCCCGCAGCAGCTCCTGCCCGAGCCGCGGCTGTCGTGGAGCAGAGGCCTCGCCGGTGCCTCTCACTGCTGCTCTGCACCGTGTACTGCTCTAAGAGCCCTGGATCTTCAGCAGCTGCTGAGGAGGTGGGGAGCAGCCGGTGCCCAGCCCTGCTCAGGCAGCCTGGCCCAGCACCCCGAGAGCTGCGCACAAGGAGCCCTTCCCGCGCTGCGCCTGACGGAGGAATTCCTCTGATGCAGAGAGAGTGATTCCCTCAGCTGACTTCACTGACTCCTCTCTCTCTACCCCTCCACAACCTGCGTAACTACAGGCACCCACAGCCTACGATGCTTCTGCATCTGAGGAGCCCCAGCTTCAACCCACTGCTGGTGACAAACCGATATTCAGCCTTTTCCAAATCCAGCCACAGCAACTCGAGTCCAGCTCACACCATTTGTAAGTGAGACATTCGGGCCAAAGGCTCTTCTCTGCCCTGAGTTCCTGGCCCTTAGCTTAGCTGGGCCAGGACAGTGGAAGGGGATTCCAGGTGGTGGTAGAAGCTGGCTGAAGAACAAGGAACCTGCGTGGCGTGTGGCTTGAAACAGACTGAAGCACAATAGGAAAAAGCAGGTTCATCTTCAGCACTGCTGCCTGCCCTTCCTCTACCCTGCCTCTGCCTTAGGCTGGGCTTGTCTGTTCTCATGCCCCCCAGCTGTTTGCTCGGATAAAGATGGGTTCCTTCCCCAGGAGCTGTTATTCCCCTCGATAGTGCAGGTTAGACCCAGGTGGCTTAGCTCCTGCTGTAGTAAAAGCTGTCAATCACTGCTAAAAAAAGCTGGAAATGGGAAGATGAAGGAAGCCAGGGGGATGGAGAAGAGGGGTACAGCAAAATTCTGTAACAACAAGAGCAACAAAAAGTTTCTGAAATAAAAGCCTTTCAAAACATCCTTTCCCTCCAGCTTTGTCCTAGATAGGCTCTTGGTGAAATTCTGCTCGGATCTTGTAGTGCTTCCCTCCTCCTCCTGGGTTTCCTTGGCAGCCCCGGCCGAGCCGTTTGGCTGGTGGATTCATAAAGCCTCTCTGTTCGAGCGAGCCTTGCTCCGGCCGCCGTTCCGCGGAGGCTGCTCCGCTCCGGGGGCTGCCCGAGCCCTGCCCGGCGGCGGGGGCCGTGCCCGCGGCCCGGACCGGTGCCCGAGCGGCGGGGCCGCTTCTCGGCCCGGCGGAGGCACCGCACGGCCGGAGCGGCCTCGGCGTGCCCGGGGCCAGCGGGGCTGCGGCAAGAGCACCAGAGAGTGTCCCGGCGCAGGGGGCCGAAGCAGATTAAATGGAATTAAGCCGCAATGATAAAATAGGTAAATAAATAAAAATAAGAAGGATAAACCGGGATGGAGCCGCAGGGCCGAAGTGCCCGCCCGCCACGCCGGTCTGCGGCCCCACCGGCCCCGGCAAAGCGCCGGTGCCCGAGGCTCGGCCCCGCCGTCCCTGCCTGGGGCTGCCCGGTCGGGGCTGCCCGTCCCGGTGATGATCCCGCCGGTGTTTGACGCATTAAAACCGAGCACCCTCGGCCGCGCCGAGCAGAGCGGAGCCGCCGCTGGTGCTTCCTTAGTGTCCCTGAAATCCTGGCCCCGACCCCCGGGACGCGGCCGGGAGCGGTTACCTGCCGTGCCCCGGGCCCGGGGAAGGTCCGTACTCCGTCCTGTGCCCCGAGAACCGTCCTGGAGCCCCGCCGGAGGAGGTGAAACCTCTGCTACAGATGTCCAGACACAATTCTTGGTTCGTACGGCTCCATCGCACAAGAATTGCGTTTGGACAATCAGGAGCGGAGATTCCCATCCCGGGCTCGCGGGATCTTCCAGGGGGAATCCGGCTGGAGCCTGGAAAAGAAGGACACATGGGCCCTGAGCCGGCTCCCGCCGCCCTCCGCTCCCGCTTCCCGGCCCCGCCGAGCCGCTGCTCCAGCCCCGACAAGTTTCGAGCGCAGCCGCGGCGTTTCGCATCCCGGGTTCCATTTAATGGCACCGCGAGGAGTTTAATTTTATCTACTAATTTCTTATCCCTCAAAAAAAAAAAAAAAAAAAAAAAAGAAAAGAAAAAAAAAGAAAAAATTTAAAAGCAGCCCTACTTAAAAAATAAAAATAAAAAAGCATAAAAAATTTTTAAAAGAAAAAAAAATAAACGAAAAGAAAAAAACAAGAAAAAAGATATAAAACGAAAACCGACGATCCATCCCTGCCGGAGCAGCCCCGGTGGAGCGGGGGCTCGGTGCGCCGGGGCTGCGGCCGCGGCGGGGCTCGGTGTCTCCGGTAGCCGCGGGGCTCCGCGGGGGTGATGCTGCGGGCACGGACTCCGGCCCCGCGCTGCAGCCGCGCCGCTCCTGCCTTGGAGAATCCACCAATTCCAAGCGGATCGCCCTCAAAATTCATGCACTTTGAACAAATCTCCGAAATTTATAAATGACCGCTGGAGGGGAAATATTAATAATAATAATAATGATAAAAATAAAGGAAAAAGATGAAAAATCCAGGCTTCTTCCCCAGCCCCTCCTCACCGACCGGCGCCCACGAAGTTGGGAACAAATCCCCCCTCTCCAGCCAGGGAAAATCCCGGCCCGCTGCCGGCGCTTCCCCCGCCGATGCCGGTGCCGGTGCCGGTGGCCGTGGCCGCTCCGCGGCGGGGCCGGGCGGGTCGCCCCGAGAGAACGCTGGGGGCTGCGGGCGAGCGGCGGACCCCTGGCTGCCCGACCGCCCTCGGCCCACGGGGCTCCGAGTTTCCACGGGGCGCGGAAAGTGCGTCCCGCGGGGGCGGAGCGGGCGGCCCCCGCGGCTCGGCGGGGCACGGCGGCGGGGCTCCCGCGGCACCTGCCGCCGGCCCCGAGCCCGGCCGAGCCGCCGCGGCTCTGCCCGCTTCCTCCACGCCGTATCCACCCGGGAGGGTCCCAAATCCGCCCGGGAGGGATGCGCACACCGGGGCTCTGCGGGCTGCGCCGGGGCCGGGCAGGGCTTTTAGTTGAACGGCACAACAATAAATGTGTTGCAGAGCCGGCGAGAAAAGAATGGGGATGACCTTCAATTGGTACTGGATTTGAATAACACCACGGGGTGATAAATGCCCATTGTGTTTTAGGAGTAATGAATCTCCACTGTCTCTATAGCACAGAAACAGCAGCTGCAACCTGGAGCCAGCCATCTCTTAAAGACACAGCTCCCAAAGCCCGGCCCCGGCCCGGCCCGCAGCCGCCGCACCGCCGGGCCCGGGGCGCGGGGTGCGCTCTGCCCCGGGGGCTCGGCGCCCGGCCCCGGGGACGGCCACGCTTGGCCCCACTCGGGGTTGTGGGGATCCCCCCCGAGCCGTCGGGCAGAGCTGGGTCTGGGGTCCCCTCCCACCCACTCGGCCCCCCTTGGAGACCCCCTCCGTTCTGCTGCCGCGGGAGTGCCACTGCCCGGGTACCCCCCGGGGTATGGGGTCACCTGCACCCCAACTCGGCCCCCCCAGCGGCAGGGAAAGTGCCGGGGATAAATAATGCTCATTGTTTTCCCCTAATGAATATTACCGAGGTGGCAGGCCGGCAGCTGCGGGCTCCGGCCGGAGGAGCGGGGACATCGCCGGCCTCTCTCCGCCCGGGGACCCCCCAGCTCCGACCTGCCGAAGGTCCCCGCATCAAAGGGGACAGCGTGGAGGTGGCCGGCGCCTTCTCCACGGCTGCCTGCCACCACCCTGGGTGTCACAGCGGGCCCTGGGCAGAGCTGGACGGGAGCCTGGAAATGTTCCCCACGGAGATCCCCACTTGTCCTCGCCTTCCCTCGTGTCCTCACACAGGGGCTGGGGAGAGGGATCGGGCAGTGCTGGGACAGAAGCTCCCACAGCGCCAGGGATGATTGGGGCAGCCCAGCCCCACGGAGCTGCAGGGTGACCCCAGTCTCTGTCCCCAACCCTCAGCAGTGTCCCCTGCCTTAGGCATCACCCCTGGAGCCCAGGGACAGTGTCAGAGACTCTCAGGCCCAAACCCTGAGCAGGGACCAACAGTGCAGGGATCTACGACTGGACGTTGCTTCCCACAGAGTCTCATTCCCTCCCTGGGAGGTTCTGCCCACCCTGAAGAGGCACGAAGGTGTCCCAGGGCTTGGGAACAGCCACATCCTCACAGCCCCTTCCCCATGGGCCAGGGCCAGGGGGATGCCCAGCTCCTGCCACAGCCATGTGCCTTCCTCGGAAAGGCTCCTCTGCATCCCAGCACATCCCTGCCAACGCTAGTAGCAATAAACCCACTTCCTACGAGTGCGAAAACCAAAAGAAAGCCAGCATTTAATAAAAAGAAAAAAGAGCAGCAGCAACTGAAGGCCCCTGAGCTGGGCTGCAGCCATTGCCTGGAACTGGCCACTCTTTGGGAAGCAGGAACCATCCGAGGGAAGCCCCTGTTGCTGCTGCTCCGGGTGTTCTGGCATTGTTTTAGTCCCGGACCTTTTAACTTGTTTTAATTCCTAACGCTTCCCACCACCCTTTTTCCTTTTTTCCCCTTTTTTTTTTTTTTTTTTTTTTTTTTAAGTATCTTTCCCAAATCTCAGCTGAGTTAATGAAGTTATGTGATCCTATAAATGTTAATTGTCTAAACTTTTCTTCTCTCCCCCGTTTTTTTTGGTGCTTTTTTTTTATCTCTCTCCTCCTTGCTGCTTTCTGCTCCACTTGTAATAAAGAAAATATCTTGGCTGGTCTTAGCCAGTTGCTTGGCAACCTCAATAGAAAAAAAGAGAACAGAATGTAACCAATCCCGAGACAACCGAAAGATTTTGGTGACATGTGACCTCTCGGAAAAGGGCAGCCTTAAACTGTCCCTTCTGTCCTTTGCTCTGACCATTAGGGTCTCTTGCCCTCCTTCCCCCCCCTCGGCTCCTTACACCAATAAATATGGATTAGTGAAATACTTTTTCCCACACTGATGAAAAGCCGGGATTGATCTTTCCACCTCCTTTATCTAGCAACCTGACAAGTTTCTAAACAAAATTAAGAGGGAAGAGGCGAAAGGAGCCATCCCAGGTTGGGCGGCCGGGGATGGATCCAGCCCCGCCGTGGGGACGGGGGGTCCCCGACGGGGCGCTGGCGCCGGTTGCACCGGGCTCCGCTCTCCGTGTGCCGGGGAGCCCCTTGCACGGCACCAGCCAGTTAGGAATTAAGTGTAGCTCTTCTAACGTAATAGGGGAAAAAAAAATTAAAGCTTTGGCCAAGCCCTGTGTGTCCTGGGGAGCCCGTCCTGCTCCTCACCGCGGAGCCCCAGCGCTCACGGGCGGTCGGGGAAGTTGTCTGCAAATCTCATCCTGGAAAAAAAAAAAAAAATCCCAAAAAACAAGCCCACAACATGATGTCATTGGCTTTGTGGTGTAGCCCGCCGGCGCCCCTCCACCTGCCGCCGGTCACAGCCGGACCTCGGGGCGCTGCTCGGGCACCGGCCCTGCCCGCAGCCCCGGCTCTCCCCGGCTCCCGCTGCGGTCAATGCCTCTTTCACTTCCCCACTTCCCCAAGAAGCATCACCTTGCCAGCTCCCTTCCTCCCACCAGCTGCCAGGAAAAAAAATTAGGGCAAGGACAGGGAGCGAGAGCAAAACCAATGAACTTGTTTCCAGCTTCTCCTTCGGATCAGCCGTCCAGCAGCGGGAGAAAAACATTTCTCCTGCAAAAATCCTCCCCTCTCTATCTCTGTGCAGGCTCCGATGCCGTCGTCACTGGGACACTGGCTGGAGACTTGGTCTCAGCTCGGCAGCAGAAGACACCGTAAGTCGTCTACTTAAACAGTTTCCTCTTTTGGTTTTGATTTTTTTTTTGGTTGGTTGTTTTTTGTTTTTTTTTTTTTTTTTTTTTGTGGGGCGGCTATGCCACGGTTTAAGGGCTGAGACCCACGGGGATGGAGGAGGAGGAGGGTGGGACAGGGGGCAGTTGCAGATAGGAGATAGGGGGGTTTGTGGGGGGCGCAGGCTGCGGGGTGTGGGCAGGGTGCCGGCGGTGGCCGGTGGTGCTCGGTGCCGGCAGCCCCGGGGTGCACAAAGCCCCTTTGAGCTCCTCACAGAGGAGCTGCTGATGCCTCGCCGGCCCTCGGAGCGGGAATGGCCGCTGCAGAGGAGAATGGAGCCCTGGGCACCCGGGAGGGCTGACAGGGAGGGGAGCTCGGGGCTCTGGGTCTGAGCGTTCCCCGCCTCAGGGACAGCTGCCCATGGGGGGCCTGGCCCCATCTGAGCCCTGAATTTGGGGTGCCCAAAACATGGGCTGATCCCTGGCCAGCCCCGCTGGGAACTGTGGGGAGCAGGGGGTGCCCCAGCCGTCCCACGTGGGGATGGGGACTCACTCCCTCCCACCACGGGTCGTGGTGACATCCACGGAGCCACCAGCCCGTGGTGTCCAGGGTGGCCGTGGGGATGGCTGCAGTGCAGAGTGAAGAGGCAGGTGGGACCAAATGAGACGCAGTGGCACCTGCTGACACCCGGTGGGACCCGGTGGGACCCGGTGGGACCCGGTGGGATGCAATGGGACGCAGTGGGACCCGGCAGGCCCTGGCAGCCCCGCTGCCGAGGCCGGCTGGCCAGGCACAATACCACGGCCCCTCTCCTGAGCCGCCGCCGAAGCCCCTTTCCCAGCGTCGGGCGCCTTTGTCTCGCCTTTGTGATGGAAAGAGCCCCCCCTCCTAAATCACTGCCCTGACACCCCCATTGTCTCCTTCCCGGGGAGGTTTGAAACTTCCCCCCCCCCCGAGGTCAGGAATGTGGCCGGTTTCTATTGGGACGGAGGAGCAGGGCTGGGTGGGGGGCTGCAGGGTCACGCCGGCTCGGCGGGTCAACCCGAAAACAAAACCTTTTGAAATACCTACTCTCCATCACTGCCAACATTGTCCCCTGCCAGCGGGGGCCTGGCACGGCCCCTCGACGCCTCCAGCCCGGCCGCTGCCCACCCCAGCGGTCAGCAGCTGGGGGGGGACAGAAGGGTATTGTGCCGAAGGGGACAGCTTTGTTTTCGGTCACAGCTGCCCCGGGTTGGGACGGGACCGACCATCAGCCCCACCGGGGTGAGAGGAGGGAGGGGACGGCAGTGCACTGGTCAGGACATTGCAGGGGGACATGGTCCATCGGGTACCCCTCTGTCCGTCTGAGATGTGGCACTGGGGGGCACAGAGGGCAGCTCCCTGTTGTCCCTGGAGTGAAGCCTCAGGGTGTGCAGCCTCTCCGTGTTCATTGACAGCCTGGCGTTGCTTTCCTGCCTCAGTTTCCCCTTGCTGTGGCAGGTGTTCCTCTGCCCACTGACAGGTGCCTGGGGTCCCCTCTGACAACCAGAATCAGGGCACTGCTGGCTCTGATGCCAAAAGATGTGGTCCAGACTGGGGAGAAAAGGGACCATTCTGAGGCTGAACCAGCTCTGCTACCCAGGAGGGTCAGGATTTGGCCACTGCAGGGCTTTGAATGTGGCTCCAAGGGTGGCTCCTTGCAGGTGGAGGGGAGCATGGCTCCCTGCTCCCAGCAGGACATGAAGAAGGACCCCCAAGAATTTCACAGCCCACCAGGAAGACCCCAGTGGGTTGAGGTTTGGGGGATGCTGGCAGTGTCACTGCCCCATTTACAGTGGCACAAATCTTTTCCCTACAGCCAGGAGGAGAACGCTGTTCCCATCAGCCCCCAGCTCCTCTGGCACAACATCTCTTGGGTGGGCCAAAATCCCCCCGGGTGGCCAAAATCCCTCCCAGGATGGCCAAAATCCCTCCAAGATGGAGTAAATTCCCCTGGATTTTTATGTGTGGGAAGATGTGTAGTTTTTGCTCGCTGCAGAAGCAGCCTGCAAGGAGGAAAGTGGAGCAGCGCCCATGGATGTGATGGGTTTAGCAGAGACCTGGAAGGAAAACCCAGCTGAGAGGGGAGCGCTGGCCTCCTGAGCGACCCAACAGCTGGAACAGCTGGAATGGTGCGGGATGAGGGGCTTGCATAGCAGAGGGTATGGTAGGCACTCT